GACAAAAGTAAAGGAGAGTTGGGGATGGAAGGTTACTGTTAAGGTATACTTACTATGTGTCTGTTTGGGGTGAAGAAAACCCTTTGGAAATGATTTGGGCAATGGTTGTGCACATGGTGAGTGCTATTAGTGTCACTGAACTGTTATACATGTAAAAATGGTTAATGTGTATGAATTGTTGAATGAAAACCTAATTCGCTCATTAAACTTTCACCCAAATCACAATAAAAAGTATAAAGACATTAAAAAGGAAATTTTTGTTCTATATATTTATCACAATAAAATTAAAAACAAAAATAGTGAGCTAAGTACTGAATAAACTGAAACCTCGTACGCCCACGACTTTGAAAACATTGAATAAATACAAAAATTTTAAAACATATATACATGCGGAGATGGTGTTGATGTTGTTAAGTGCTGTCAAGTCGGTTCCGACTCACAGTGACCCTGTATAGGGTTTCCGAAGAGCAGCTGGTGAGCTTGAACTGCACACCTTGCAGTTCAAACTGATCTGCAGTTCAGTGCATTAATAGACATTAGTAAATGAAAACATTAGTTTGGTCTCTCAAAATGGTTTGCCAAGGCTTAGTATTAAATGTGCACTGCGATAAGCTGTTCAACTAGAGGTTGCCTTTAAATCTTTATAGTAATTTGTTTTTTGTCCTTAGCCTTTACTTAAAGGCTGGTAGATTTGAACTATTGGTTTTCTGGCTAGCAGGCAAGTGCTTAACTGCTGTATCATCAGGATTCCTCTACATACCCTACTTATATTTAAATTTAAGATTCATCAAAGGATAAATAACCTGTTACAGAAATTTATTATTTTTCTTTTATAAGCTATAGTTCTTAAATATATTTACATGATTCCACATTTTAAAAAAATATAAAAAGAGTGAAAAATCCCTCTCCCATTCCCATGCCCCCATACCCACACACAAACTTGATAGTTACTTTATTAGTCATATACATTTTCCAGTATTTCTTTGTTGTTGTTGTTGTTGTTATTAAGTGCCGCTGAGTCAGTTACAACTCATAGCGACCCTGTATAGAGTTTCCGAGCAGCAGCTGGTTGAGTTTGAACCGCCGACCTTGCAGTTCAATAATGACCTTATGGTTCAGCACACATCAGGACTCCATATGCTTATATAAGGAAGCATTTTTATACCCTGCTTTTTCATTTAACAATTTATGTAGGCAACATCCCAATCACTACATTGAGAGCTCCTACACAAAATGGCTTTTAAAACCCAGTCTGGGACATGAGCTCTGGTAGTGTAGTGGTTATAAGTCGGGCTGTTAACCTCAAGGTCAGCAGTTGAAAACTACCAGCCATTCAAGGGGAGAAAGATGAGGCTTTCTGCTCCCATACAGATTTCCAGCATCGGAAACCCTGTACAAGGGTCGTTGTCAGTAAGAACTGACTCCACGGCACAGTACCACCTGGGACAGAAAAGCAAGTCCAACAGATGAGAGCAGTTTATCAGCACTGGTTACAGGGGGCTGGGAGCAGCTGAGCTCAGAGCGGCTGAGCAAAGCAGCCTCCACTCCTCATTAGTACGCCTCTTACTCCTCAGACATTGCCTCAGCCCTGGAAAGAGTCCTGCCCACTTTAATCTAACCCACTCACTTAACAACATGATAAAAGAGGGCAGGAGAACAAAGGGGAGTTGTCCAGAGACAGGCAGTGGACAAGGACAGATCCTTATAGGTTTGTGGCATAGGGGTATAGTAGAGAGAGTTTAGGGCTAGAATGCAGAAGACCAACAACTTCCAATTCTGTCCTTGAAGGACAAACAACATGCTTGGAAAAGTGGAAGGTCAGTGAAAAAGAGGAAGACTCCCAACAAGATGGATTGACACCATTGCAGCAACAACTGTGAGGATAGCACAGGAACAGTAGTGGATCATTTTGTAGCATGTAGGGTTGCTCTGAGTCAGAACTAACTCAATGGCACCTAACAGTAACAACAACACCTACTGTTTCAAGATTAGTTACTAAAAGCAAGCCACTAAACCACCTCTCTATGTTCTATCTCTAACAACAACACACCAGAAAAGGTTAGCATTCGCTTGTCGTAGAAACTACATAAGAAAATCAAGCCTTACTTCCTCTAAATAGCCATCCTTGAGATTCAGCCCACATCAAATTCTTCCTAACCTGAACACGTACTTAGAGATGAGCAAGCACTTTGGTGCCATATCTTACACTATCCTTGTACCATGCTAAATATAAATACCTTCCCTCATGTGTCACGTATTTCTCATATGGGCTCTAGAGAACTCAGTAGAAGGTTTTCGATGCCAAAGGAAGATGCTCAAAAACACACTAATAAAATTAAATTTAAAATGAAATTGTAGTGACTTGTTTAATAAGCAAAATGCTAACTGAATTATGAACTTAAAATGTAATTGTAGTGACTTGTATCTTATGTAAACACACACAGAATCCAGGACCAGATTCAAACTTAGAACTCACTTTCTAAGTGAGTTATTAACATTGATTATTAAACAATTTAATTTTTTTCTGCAGGCAAAACTCCATGAGGTATTCCACCCCAACTCCAGCAAGAAGACAGAATTGATCAACTTCCTCTTTATATCCCACAATGCCCCAAATACACTTCTGTCACAGAACTTCTAACAGTTTACTGGCCTCATATTCCCCAAGTACACCATTAGACAAAGGCAAAAACACTATATAACCACGTTTTTTTTTTAATCTGACCACGTAAAGCTTAACAGAATGAGACACACAATAATAATTAACGACTATTTAAAAATGTAGGAAGGATAAAGAAGAGTATGAAATTGAAATATAGTCAATGTGTACATATGCACCCCAAGAAATATTTTATAAGAACAGTATTAATTAGTATTAAAAATAAAGATGTGCAAACATTTATATAAAGCTCAAAAACACTGATGAGGTTTGATTAGCAATGAGTTCAGTTTCCATAATTAGTTTATCTTCACATTGATTATTCTTTATAGCAAATAAGTATTTACATATACTCTGACATTCTTTAAAACCATAATTCTTCCAAAATAAACCTTTCCTGACCTATGCTAAGCACTTTTATCAGGAAAATAAATAGATTACTCAAATTCTACTCCTCTGCTTAAAAAGGAAGAAAAGAAAATATAAATTTTATCCTAATATAGGCAGATTAACTTCTTACACTAATATTCTTAATTATATTGGAATACGTTGAATTGAATATGAACCACTGAACTGTGAAATATGCACGAATTATGCTACAACCTCACAGGTTATACTACAACCTCACAGGCAATTTACAGGTAAATTGTTATCTGAAAAGAAGAAATGTCTCCTCCTTTCAAATAACTACAAGCTTCCAAAGTGTTTTTACTTATTGACAATGCCATCTTTGAAAACCTATCCATTTTTATCCTCCTAACTTTCTCATGTACAGATGGGACTCAAGGTTTGGAACCATGAAGGAATCAATAATTTTGTCATATATATGCCCCAAAGTTGAAGAGTGGGGGCTCTTCTGTCAGAATCCACAGGAAAAAGGCAGAACATAGGAAAGACCATGCCCTTCGGAGTCTAGCCTAGGCTTAGACTTTACCAAGTACCAACTGCATGACCTTGGGTTTCCCTAAACTTACTTCTACACTGGTAAAGGAGCAATAATTCAAACTTTCTAGGGCTATTATGAGGACTACATCATTATGTTATATATAAACACAAAGAGTTACCAAAAAAAAAAAAAAAAAAGTCAAACCCACTACCACCAAGATAATTTCAACTCATGGTGACCCCATGTGTTGCAGAATAGGACTGCTCCCCTAGAATTTTCAATGGCTATGATCTTGGAAGTAGATCACTAGAACTTTCTTCTGAGACGCCTCTAGGTGGATTCAAACTACAAACTTTCAGATTATTAGTTAAGTGCTAAATTGTTTCCACCACCTAGTTTCTCTCCCTAATTTTCCACAACCACAATATAATTATTTAACACTCTTTACTAGTCAGAGCAAAAGCTTTACCTTCTACTTTGGGGCCACTGTTAGGCCTGCTGTTGCCTGGTCATAATTCATCAAAACATTTATGCATCTATGCAAGATGACCGATACCAGTTGGTTTTTTTGAAACCGCTCTTGATATAAAAAATAGTTTTATAAGAAGTACTCTTTCTGCCTTTGGTTCCAACAATAATTTTTAACAGTATAACTGCCTTAAAAAAACTTTCGTTTCGGCTCCCACTGATTTATATGAATTGTCATTGTCATTAAAATGACATTAATTCAACCAACTTACTATCCAAGGGAATCATTAAAAGGAATCCTTGGCAGAAGTATGGATTTCTATTTAATTTACAATCTTATATGAATTCAACAATATGGTATCACTTTTTTCCTATGAATATGGGGCTCATTTTAGAGGTAAACTCTTCTCTGGGTTTATTTCACTAGTTCTCCATTTTGGATTTACTTAGCTAAATATTGTAGAAAATTGGTGAACTATTTTATTAACTGCTATTTATATGGCTAAGTGACTACAAAGTGCTAAATACCTACTTAGCCAGGGAGCAGGGGAGTACGGGTAGCTTGAGATTTAAGCCAGGATGACAACTGTCAACTGAACAAGGAGACACAAAGTTTCTCATGAAGCCTAGTGTTTTGTTTATAGAGTATGAAGAAGCTTACTATTCAGGATTTTTTGTTTCTCAAGGAAAGTTTTCTACTATTCTTATTTTGTAATTTAAGAAAAGTTTAAAAATTCCTTTCCTTTCCTCTATCCTTCTGGCACTATTTTTATACTGACATGCACTATTTTTATACTGACAGAGCTATTTTGAGCCATTTTAGTAGTATCCAATACTTATGCCAAGAAAAATGTTAGCATGACATTAGCAAGCTAAAAAGCAAACTCTCAGTTTTTGGTCACAGAAAAGAGTTTATATTTTGGAAATGAATTACACTGCAATCAATTCATCAGCATAAGCCATTAAACCAGAATTAGAAAGTCTTACCTTTTGTGCATCTCCTGTGAAATATGCAATGGCCAGTGTAGGCAGAATCATGAACAGTGCATTGTAATAAAGCAGACCATATTTTCCCAGCTCCTAGGATAAGACATAATTAGGTGTTTTACTTGACTCTCAGACAGATATAAACAACCCTATATCACCCCCATTATATATAAACAAATACACATACCTCCCCTCAGAATATACAGAAAATCAACCAAGTCAGAAGTCTGAAAACATTATGAATAATCTAAGCTGTCAGACGAAAAAGAAGAAAAGAAACCAAGCTTAAAAGATTTAAACTTTTAAAATCAAGTGTTTAAGATCTGAGGAATAAAAATTATATCAACTGGCTGCCTCAAAACAGCCATTAGGGAAGAGATTCTATTAAACACATATGCACATATTTATAAGTACACATCCCTAAAGTCCTTCTCTTTCCAAAATTAAACCAAGTCATCAAGCGACCCTTGGGGTTTTCAAAACTAAAACAGAGTGCTACTATAAGAAAATGGATGTATAAATTCAAACACAAACAGATATCCCTTCCCAGTAAAAGATTTCTAAAAATGTGCATGTGCATGATTAGTATGGCTAAACTCCCCAAACACAATATGAAAAGCTGTGCTCCATCTACTTGGGAACAACAAAGGACAACAACATCTTCAAGCATATAGGAATTCTGGGCCAACCTCTGATCCACATACTTCCAAAGAGTCAAATGTAGAGTCAACTGAAATACTAGGCCACAGATGTGGGGAATGCAGTACAATGAGGAGTGTGGTAGCTACCTAACATCTGTGATTTGAAAGATTGCTGTTGTTGTTGTTGTTGTTAAGTGCTGTAGAGTCGGCTCTGACCCACAGTGACCCTGTACAGGGTTTCCGAGGCTGCAAATCTTTATGGGAGCTGAAAGCCTCATCTTTCTCCCACAGAACAGCTAGCTGGTAGTTTCGAACAGCCAACTTTGAGGTTAGCA